ACAGCACGGGCAGGAACTTGTGGCGCTGGAAGCACTCGGGAAACGTGTCCATGTGCTCTTGCAGCTTGGAGAACAGTGTCTCCTTCTCATTCGCATCCAGGATCTAGAAGGTGGTGGGGGCAGGCACGTCACAATATGATCGAATGTGAGATAAAGTCACCATTATCACCTATGCCGAGTTTTCGGTAATTGTAAATTACGTCCAATCCATGCCATCTACGCATCAGGAAACTCGCTCACACTAATGGTGGCTATGGCCGGTAAAGTGCTACATAATCACAGCAGAGAGAGAGAGAGAGAGAGAGAGAGAGAGAGAGAGAGAGAGAGAGAGAGAGAGAGAGAGAGAGAGAGAGAGAGAGATAGAGAGAGAGAGAGAGACCACTGAGTGAGTAAATGTCGGAGTTCAGTGAGCCTTGCTGTTCCAGATACTAGTAGGCAGGCATCAAAAGAAAATAATAGAGAGGTTCTGCAAAACGAATATGTGTACAACTTTCGCTCCACGTCATGAAGTGAGAAACTTCGCACGAACTTTCGCAACTTTGGACGCGAAACTTGCAGGGAACGCGAAATGAACTTTCGTAGGAAGTTTCGTGAGGTTGGTCATGTGTACGTGCACTTGGCGCGTGCAAACTACGAAAATGTGCAGAACACAAAGATCGTGCTAAAATTCGTACACATGTTCGCAAGGCCTGTTGCGAAGCTTCGTTCGAATTTTCGTTGTGCAGAACCTCTCTAATGCTGAATTACTGAATGCATCAGATGCGGTAGTGGCAGGATCTAGGAGGGGGTGAGCAGATCCCCCTACAGACAAACATGGCCATAGGAATATTCAAACACAACACCCCACTATATCTAGCACAAACCTGAAATTCGTCCAGCTGTAAATTGATGGCAACAAAGTCGTTGTCCATGAAGCCATTCGGCTTGCTGCAATTCGCAACAAAAGTGTTGGGGTTCGGTCGATTGCGTGCATTGGCGCTGACCAACTCACAGTACAATGCCACCACTGCCTTGGGTAACTGACAACACAAAATGAACACGGGACAAAGAAAACCACTGCAATTTGACCAAAGAAGGAGCACACCCGGAACACAAAAACTAGAACATTCCTTAAAAAAAAATACCGGCATACAAGTCCAGCTGCTGTAGTGTAGTGGACACTGCAGAGGAAAAAACCTCCCCTTGACCAAAACCAGACACATCAGTTGCCGTATACATATAGTCAATTAGCTTGCAGTATAGGTTTGTACAGCAGAGCTTGGCATTACTGTGTCTTCCGGGAGTGAAGCCAGCAAAAAAGCATGGTGAACGCAGGAGTCTTGCCCACTCACCTTGTGGGTAGTTTTCAGGCAGAGAGCTGCGGCAGCGGGCCATTGAAGACTTCCAAAGCAAGCAGCCTAGTCCCCACACATCAGTTGCCCTGCAATACCATTTGTCCAAGAAGAAAAAGAGAAAGTTAAATCACACACGTCATGGCGCTTCCTTCCAATGTGCTAAGCTGTGGAATGATTTACACCCTCTAGCTCGCTGTGTGGATAACTCCGCCCGTTTTAAGAAACTGTTACCCCAATGGCCTTGTTTTCACGCTAGTAATTATGACTTTCAGCTATGCAAAATGCGAGCATGATCACCTATCCAATACTGGTAGTCTATTATATTAATTATTCATATCTTTTTGCATCTTTCCCTCGAGTGGGTCTATTGTTATTAGGCAATTGTCTGTTATAGTCACCACTATAAATATAAATCCAATCCCAAAAAAATCAATCCAATCCACACGCAGGTCTATCAATGCAATATACATGTAGATTTACTAGATGCAGATTTACTCATGCAGCCGGATAATTATTGCTAGGTGCTTCGATTGTTGAATTTTTTTTTTGAGCGAGTCTTGACCGAGTTTCTTGGTTTGGAAGTGAGGGCCAGCTTGATTTCGCCAATAAAAAGGCAGCACCTGCGCTGAGCAGGACATGTCACAGTACCAAGATTTCACCAACACA